GGTGGTTAAGCGCTCGGCTGCTAACCAAAAGGTCAGCAGTTGGAACCCATAGGCCGCTCCATGGGAGAAAAGACCTGGCGATCTGCTCCCGTAAAGATGACAGCCTAGGAAGCCCTATGGGGCAGTTCTGCTCTGTCACATGGGATTGCTGTGAGTCGAATAGACTCGACAGCACACAACAGCAACGATCACTGTCACTTCCTTGCTTTAAACTTTTACCAGAACATCTTTCACCTTAACACCGTTGTTTAAATTTGCACCTTTTCAGACTTCATGTCAAATGTCGTAACTTAACTTTGTGTCGAGTTTCTTTCACTCCGCAGTGTTTGCGAGATATGTCCATATTGTTGTGTGTCTCTATAATAATAATTTAGTAGTGCTAATAATACATTTTTTAAATGCTACAGGAGCTATCCTAAAATTACTTTTAAAAAGTGATATTTTATATTGATTTTTGTTAAGTCCTGGAAGTCCATTCCATTATTCTATAATTCTCAAAACAGTATCTCATAATCTTTTATTTTGTTTAAAAAAAGGGGTGGGGATGGATATATACTCTTCTGTTCAGTGAGTAAGTGTTTCTGTGAAAGGGGCCTAATGGATTAGCATTTCATTGTGGCTTATGGTGTCCTTGGACCTTTTCAAAATATTGTTAATAGCTTTGAGAGGGCCAGTATAGATTGTTTTGTACAAAATGTGGGTAAATTAACTATATCTTCTAGTGTTTGTTTGCAAAAACGTGTCTTAGAGTCTGCATTCTGTTGCTCTAACGTGGTTTATCTCTGAGTCTGCACACTCTAAAGAAAAGATTGAAGGTCCTTTTCTGTTTCGGTAGGAGGAATAAGCACGGCGTGTCCCGGAAGAAGATTGCTCAGATGTTGGAGCGTTACGAATACCAAATGTCCATCTCGATTGTAATGAATTCGGTGGAACCGTCGCACAAAAGCACACAGAGACCTCCTCCTCCACAGTGGAGACAGAGGTGGGGAGGGCCTCTCGGCTCACACGGTCACATCGATGTCACAAATGATTGTTAAGTGGGCTGTTTTCAGCTGACACATTTGTTGCTTGCCCTTAAAAAAAAATCAGTGAGCCCGTCCTGAAACATCTAACTAGTCTCAAATAAAAAGACCACATTGCCACACAAAGGA